GCCTCATGAAATCAAAACCATTGAGTACAGCCAGCATCAGGCAACCTAAGAGGGCAATTGGGTTTTATCTGGTGACCTACTGAGTAATCTGACCTAAAGTTAATTAGCATCTGTTGGCCACCTATATTGCCAAGTACTGAGCAAAGCTTTGAAGTTGCAAAGATGATTCAAAATATCCCTAACTTTGAGTTTTTTTACAGACTAGTGGGGGGTACAGACACATAACAGATCGCTTCAGTAGGATTTTTGAAATTTTAAGTGTTAACTTGAAATTCTTTGCTTCTCCCAAATTCTGTCCCATATCCATAAGAAGTGACTCCATCCATCCAGTTACTAAGTCATCTTCAACTCCCCCTTTTCTCTTATATCTCTACACTCAAACTATTGGCAAATTCTGATGACTGCACCAAAAATCATATATACAATCAGATCACTTCTCACCAACTCCACCTCTACTCTCTGGCCAAACCTACTATCCTTCTTATCTAGATTATTAAATAAAAAACAATCTGTTTTCCCTGCTTCCACACTTGTAGCTTTTTTTAAGTCTCATGGAGAACTGCCAAGTTCTAAACCAAGTGTGGAGCTCTTCTTAGGACAGGCTGTATACCCCTAAAGCCAGCCCTGTGATGGAATTATGTATGTGTCTCTCCTTCTTCATATCCTAACAGGGAGGAATGCTCCTGGCACAGAGTAGGTGCTGCATAAATGCTTGTTGACTGAATACACATATCCTTTCTAGAAGAATTTGAAAGTATTGCACTTTCATATCTCTTGACAAGATTGGGCTTGTAGGCGCAATCTTGCTACTGGTACAAAACTTGCCAATTGCTTCTCATTTCACTCAGTAAAAACAAAAGCCTTGAGAGTGGCTGACAAGAGCCTACCAGGCCTTTCCCCTCCCACTGAACTTTTCATCTCAGCCTCCCAGTACCCAACCCTACTTCACTCTAGCCACACTGGCTTCCTCACCCTTCCTTGAAGTCAACATGTTTACTTTTGTCTCTGGTCCTTTCTTCCTTCCTCATTGCTGTTTCCTCTTGCTTACAGTGTACTTTCCTTTTATTCTGTCATTGTCTTTGTTTCTCTACTCAAAAGTCATTTTCTCTGTGCTTCCTTCTTTGCACATCTATTTAAAACTACAATCCTCTTAGTCCCATAAGATATTTTATTCTACTTCCTAACTTTTTTCTCTATAGCTCTTCCCATCATCTGATATATTAGTTTTGTTGTTTGACTGACCTGACTTGAATGTAATCCCCATGAGGGCAATTTTTCTTTCATCTTGTTTTATTCACTATTGTTTCTCTAGCACCTAGAAAAGTGCTCAACACATAGCAGTCACTCAACAATTGTTGAATGAATGGCTCTCCTTTTTTGAAACATTCGCTGAGCCTCTAAGGCAGTAGTTCTCAACCTTGGCTGCACATTAGAATCACCTGGGAATCTTTTTAAAATCCTGATTTCTGGGCCTCATCCTCCAGAAATTTTGGTTCTTTGTTACTAATGTTGTGGCCCCACCCCACAACAAAGAAACAGAATTTCCGGAGGATGAGGCTCCCATTATTAGCTAAAAGTATTGCCATGTTGCCTTGCCTTCAATCTTGTAGTTTACTACATTGATTAAATATTATTTTTCATTGTTTCCTATAGTGATGGGAAACAAAAGCACATCTAAGCTATCTCAATCAAATATATAA